GCAGTCTGCACTTTTGGATAACGGCTGCAGATTTCCACGGTATAAAAAATAAAAATTCCTACTTATATATTTCTTCACTATATTTCTTCTTCGTATAGGTATATATATATAAATTTTGTTTTAAAATGATAGGATAAATCCAAATATTTATAAATAGGTAGGCAGATACATATCCTGATTCCTGACAACATACCAACAAATATATTTATTTACGGTAATATATAGATATATATATATATATGCAGCTGTACGACACTGATACCATAGATACGGTTACTGCTTATTTTGGGTCATCGTTTATTTATTTTTTATATAATTTAATATAAAAATAATATTTTATATTAAATTAATATTTTTTTTTATAAACAAGTAAAATATAAATATTATATATAGTATATTAACATATATATATATTTATATTATATTTTTTAATAATATTTATATAGAATTATTTCACCTATATATATATTAAAATGAACAAACTCTATCCTCTCCTTAATACTCCCTCTGTCCCAGATACCGTATCTGCTACATTGTAGACACGGTATTTTAGAAGGGATGTAATTAGTAGATAATTAAGAATATATTAGTGAAAATAATTATCCTATAATATAAATAATTATAAATTAAGGTTAAAATAACTAATTAGTTTAATTAAAATTAAAGAAAATAAAATTAAAAAATTTAAAATGAGATTAAAGTGTGTAATTATTTTCCAAAAAATAAAAAGTGACATGGTATGTGGGACGGATAGAAAGGCAACGTGGACATGGTATTTGGGACCTATTTGTTTTTTATGCCCTAATTTGTACATTCTTCATTCAAATTCAATGCATTGTTTTATTTTTTATAGTAAAATTTAAAAAAATATATATATTAATTTTTTATTAGTTAATAAAAATGTATAAAATAATTTTGATATATTAAAATTCAATTAGCTTGCAACATTTAATGGGTATTGTTAGAATTTTGAAGTTCTGAATTTTTTTTTTAAATAATATTTTTCTTCCGTCCACAAATTAATGTCTTATTTTTTTATTTGAAATGTCTAATAAATATTGCCATATTTTATTTTTTAAATACAAATTTAATTTTTTTTTTCTTTATGCATTTACCTATTTTAATCTCTACTTTATCATAAAAGATAAATTTCTACCTTCATAACAAAAAAATAATAATAATAATAAATTATCTAAAATAAAAATATATTTTAGAACAATAAAAATTAAATAAAAAATATGAAATTTAATATTATATGTGATCTTTGTTTGGAAAACTAAATATTTAATTTAATTTCTTTAATAAAATATTTATATGAATAGAAAAGGCAAAACGATAAAATAAAATTAAAATAGTGATAATAATACACACTTGTCATTGTGCATGCTATGCTCCATTTCATAGTCCGACGTGTGTTAGTGTGTATTTTATTTTATTTTATTGTATTATTATTATTATTATTATTATTATTATTATTATTTTTATTGTTGTTGTTGTTTTGTCTTATTATTAGCAAGGCACAATACATATCTATCAATCTGATATGATAAGCACCCACATGAATATTTATTGGACAAATATATACTTCCTCCGTCCCATATATTTTTGGGCTTATTAATGTAGATATGAGAATTTAAATAAAAATTTAAATAAAATATAATTAATAGATAATTAAAAAAATGTATTAGTAAAAAATAATTATTATTTAGTAAAAATAATTATAGATTAAGATTAAGTAAATAAATAGTTTAATTAAAATTAAAAAAATTATAAAATTTAAGATTTAAAATGTGATTAAAGTGTATAATTATATTTTCAAAAATAAAAATGACAAATTATGTGGGACAGACGAAAATAGAAAATAAGAACATATTATGTGGAACGGATGGAGTAATTATTACATGTAATGATTTTTTTAGTCCTAAGTGTTTCTTTGGGACCATAAAAATAAATATGTTGGAAAAAAAGAAAAAAAGCAAAAAAAACAAAAAAAAAAAGAGTGTTGCTTTGTATTTTTAATTTGAATATTTTTTTATATTAAAGTATGAAAAAATATATTGATAATATAAAATGCTCCACGATTATTTTGTATTTAGTTGTTGATGTATTTAAAATAATAATAATAAAAAAATAACACGCTGACACACGTCGAACAAATATATTAGTAATAATAATTATTTATAATATAAATAATTATAAATTAAAATTAAGATGATTAATTATTTTATAAATTAAAAATTTTAAAATAAAATTAAAATATAGTATAATTTTTCCAAAAAAAAATGACATTAAATGTGGAATAGACAGAATTAGCAATTTGAAACGGAAGGAATAATAAATTTATTATATATATATATATATATTTATCAATTTATTAAAAAATTTCTCATAATATTTTTATATTAAAATACTATTGTATCCAATCAAATCCACATAATTTATCAGATGAAAGGAATAAATAATATTTTTCATTTCAACTCGATATATTTATTTTATTTTATTTTGTTCAAAAATATTAATTTTTAGTTATAATAAAAATAATCATATATATAAATATTAAAATCCTTTTAATTTTTTCAATTGTTTTAAAGACAAAAATAAGCAAAATCATCTTACCATGGCAGTGTTAGACTAGAATTTTAAGCTTTTACTTGTGATTTTAGTGGGAGATATTACAGTTAATAATAATAATAATAATAATAATAATAATAAATAAATAAATAAATAAATAAATAAATAAATAAAGTTGAAAAGAACACTTAAATGGAGTATTAATTTTGGGATAGTTTTTAGAATAGTCAAAACAGAATATTTTTATACACCTTTTCAATATGTTTCAAAATTTTTGGACAAATATTTTTATATTTTTTCAATGAATAAAATTAAATTTTTATAAGTTAATAATTTAAATTTTAGATTAAAATATTTGAGAATAAAAAATGTATATGGTCTGGACAATTGTGTAAATAAATGAAAATAATTAGTACAATAGGGTTGAATTTTTTTAACTAAGTATGGTATAGTATTTTGTTAATAAACTAAAATAGTTAGACAAATATAATTTTTTTTTTTTAGATAGAAGAAGTATGAATAATATTTATAAAAATAAATTAAACTATAAATAAAGTATCAAAAATAATTTTTAAATATGCGTAAAGATATAATTATTTATATTAGAAAGAGAGCAAGGAGTGAGTGACTCTGTCATAATTAAGCAAGCCCAATAACTTTTCAGAAAATACAGTAACACTTTAATTTATTTATTTTACATAAAGCAGGCCTGCATTGCATGTAAGATGCTCATCATTAAGGGTACAATATATATATATATATAATTTAATGCTTGTTTTTATTTTTAATTTAAATAATAATTTGAATCTAATATTTTATAAAATAAACTAATACTATATTTTATAAAAGAAGGTTTAAAAATTATACTTCTCTTGTCCCACTAAAGCATTGTCTATATTTTTATTTTGGTCCGTCTCACTTATTTCACTTTCTTTTATTGAGAAAAAATTATACATTTTAATTTATTGAAAAAAATTAGACATTTTAATTTGTAATTTGTACTCCCTCGTCCCGGAACTATATTCTTAGTTGTACTGGGCACGAAATTTAAGGAATATTAATATTATATTGATAGTGGATAAAAATTATAAATAAAAGACATTTTTGCCCTTGTGAGTGTATTAGTGTAAAATGTAGTGACAATTGTGTAATAATAATGAAAGAGTAAGGGTAGTTAAACAGTGATATGGTTATTTATGGAAATAAGACTATTGTTTTTGGAGGGAAGAAAATAGTAAACAAGACTATTGTACTGGGACGGAGGGAGTATATTTTTTTTAATTTTAATTAAACTAATTAATTATCTTAATTTTAATTTATAATTATTTTTATTATACGATAATTATTTTCACTAATACATTCTTAATTAATTTACTAATTATATCGGGAGTTTGAATCCATAACCTCACGGTCACAAATCTAATCGGGTCATCCTTTACATAACTATACTTCATGAATATTGATTAATCATAATCAATATCATGTTCAATAGTTGTTGATACATACAAAGAACTAGAGAAAGGAGGAGTTGTTCTTCTTTTCATTTTTTTTTAATAATGTTTATTTTCTTTTAATAATGTAAAAATATATAGTGAGTACAAAATTTTTGTTAAGACAAAGAGTATGATGAAGGAAAGAAAGAAAGAACTTTTCAATAAAAATGATATAAACATTGGGACAAAAAAAAAATGTATTGTTTACTTTATCCCATCATCATTCATTTTAGCATTTGGGAGTTGTGTTTGTAACATCGCATTCTCACTCCACTCCAATTTCAATATATACATACACACAATTGGCGGATCTAAGATTTTGAATTTGGTGGATCGATAAATTAATATAATTAAAATAAATAAATAACAATTTACATTAGAAAAATACGAAATTTCAAATTAACAATCACTTATACATCAAAATAAGTTACAAGTGTTCACGACGATATCTTATATTTTGGTGTCTACTGACAATAGCATCTATACTAACTTTCGTAAATGCATCTCTTTCTAAGAAAGTAACGAAACAATCATTTAATAATTACTCTTTCATGTTATTCCGTCATTTTTTCTTGATAATAGTTATAATTGAAAATGATATTTTCACGTTTGCAGTTGCTACTTTTCTTTGTCTCAATAAGTTTCATAGAAAGTTCATTTAAATTCTTCGAATCCCAAGATATTTCGTCGTATTGAATATCAATAATGAAATTACTTAATAATAAATCAAAAATCATCAATTTTGCTTATGATAATTCTGTAGAATATAATTATGCAAGTAGTTGCAATATCTTTTTATTAAAAGAGGAAAGCGATTGAAGGGAAAAAAAATAAGACATCAATAATTCTTTTGGTGAGTATTGTTAAATACACAAACCGTCACTGATTCATAAAATAAAAATAAAATTAATACGTAGGAATACATTTGTAATTTAAATAATAATTAATATTATTTTTAATTTTTTTTATGTATCAATTCACCCACCTTACATAATAGTTAATACTGCATCCGCCCCTGTTTATACATACATACATTATATATATATCTATATGTTATTTTGACCATCACTAAAGGGTCACTTACTACTGACTAATTCAAGAATCTTAAGCGCACTTGAAAAATAACGGCTTAACGATCGAAACTTTTAACGTAACTGAAAAAGAATATGCCCGAACAAATTAAAGAATCTTAATTAATCCAAAATCCTTTCAAAAGAACCAAACAAACGAGCCTTGCCCTTAAATCTCCTGCAATATTTACATAAGATTATCCATTTCTTGTAAGAACAAACTTCCTAAGATCAAAAAAAAAAATCAAAATTAAGACAAGAAGCTTACCTCGTCGATATGAAACACAGAACTATATCCCTAGTCAAGTTTCGATTAATCGAGTCGCGCTGAATTTAGCCGTGTCTCTTTCGAGCAAGAATGTGATCGACCGTAGCAATGTAAGAAAGTAAGCCTGAACGAATTTGCAGGCAAATACTCGTTATTCCTTGTAAGAAATCGCCACCTGCAGATCGGGATGAATATATATAAAGCGATGATGTTATTATCTACAAATAAACTACATCGATGCATCTTTTAAATCGGTTTGGACTTTCGGACAAAGTAGCCGTGTAAAAACTCTTAGGCCCTGTTTGGTTGGATTGATTAATTTTAAATGAATTTCTTCGGAATTAAAATCCATCATTTGGTCGCGGGTAATATTGAAATACAGTATAAAAATGAATTTGAAAACTTACAATCAAATTTGGAGACTCAAAATTTATCGCACTACTAAAGGAAACTAATAAATTTGACAGAGTCATTTAAAATCATCGCAATTGTTAGATTATGTAAATGATAGTTTTACCTAAAAGCTTAACCTATGATATAAATGACATTCTTACCTAAAAGCTTAACCTATGAAGTTTTAGATTTAGTAGATTTAGATTTAGATTTGAATTTTATCCATGTATTAGATTATTTAGATTTGAGTCTATCAAATATGTTTATATTGTCAATATATAGGCCAACAAAATGTAAGATTTGAGATATTTTAAATATTCAGTTTAGATTTAGTAGATTTAAATATAGATTTGGCCTTCTCTATACATTAGATTACTTATATTTGAGTTTATCGAGTCTGTTTTATTTTGTCTATATATAAGCCTCTTATTTTGACGATAAGTAATACAATTTTCACAAAAAGAAATGTTACATAACGTAAATGACCATGAACGTCTCACCTAATAGCTTAAGCTATTAGGGAGACACATCGGTTATTTATTTATCTACAAACGGGAGTTCTCTAATTAACACCAATTAAATGGGGTTTTAACGATTAGATATACGCCGGACATATATAAGTAAAAAATCAATCGACAAATGAGAAAGAACGTACCGGTGTTAGTCGATCAAAAGAAGCAAAGTTCGGTGTAGCCATGGGCGTACGGCAACAATTCCTCAACCTCAATCCGGGAGCTCGAGCAGCTCATGCTTTTCCGCAACCGGTTGGGGACCGACTCGATTTCTGCCCAGAAAACGCTCGACACCGGCCGGTGATCGGAAAATCTCGACTCCCCGCGAGCGTACGACAGTTGTTGAAGGCCATTACCGTACCACAAAATTCGATCGCACCTTCGAGATATAAATATATATATAAGCGTTCCGATTGTAATAAAAATCCGTAAACGACAACGGGTGTTGTAAGAATTCTTACCATGCAGGCGTCCTCCGTTTCTCCTTCGGGTGCATGTCGTCGCCGGCGTACCTGTCTGAATTGCGCGAGTATTTGTAAGTAGGCGGGAAATATATCTTCCCCTCCCTCCATCCATCGAATACCCGTCCCCGTCGCTGCTCAAGTCGCAGCTGTCCAGAAACGATATCGCGATCAATTTTAGTAAACATATAACTAGGCGTAATCGAATAGCGAAAAAAAATCGATCGTAATTTCTCGTACTTGATCTTTCTCTAGTAAGGCTCGCCAATTTTGCATTTCAATCAATGCTTTCGCTGATCGGTACGGCAGCGCTATTCGATAATTAAGATCTCCTAGCCAAATAATTCGACTGCGTCGACCGAAATGTTCGTTAATACAATTTATCATACATTGCTTTTCGATAATTCTCATGTGTTAGAGACGAGAATCTTACTCGTGCTCGAGTATCGTTTCGGGGGATTTCTCGTCGTCGGCGCTGTTAACTCGTGGAAACCTCGTTTTCCTAAGAATCTCCATAAAATCGGCATTCCTACGTAGCTCGTCGCCTTCTTTCTGACCGGACGTCAAGTGACTACACACGAAGCATAGACTCGTCTGATGTAACAACATGCTTATCGATATCGACCCCTGCAATAAAACGGTATACTAAGAATCGAGCAAATGATAACCGGAATGATCGATCGTAACGTAAATGATGAGCAACCTTGTTGCCAAGATAGCCCATAAGCCCTCGACCGACGCACGAGACTTTGATGTTCCCCACGTGCTCGGTTAACTCGCTCCGAACCCATACAGTGAGAAAAATTCCGACCATTTGCTTACTCGCTACCAACGAGTATCTCGATTGTCCCGGAAAAGCATACGCATCTTCGATCGGAGAATACAAAACCGTGCTCGGTGACTCGCTGGGGAAATAATCCTCGTCGGAACCCCACCGGGAAAAATCGCTCGCCCTCTGTCCCCAGGAGTAGTCGCTCGGGCGACGGCTAGATGAGTAATCACTCGCCCGATTACCGGACGAATAGTCGCTCGGACGATGCCCGGAAGAATAATCGCTCGGACGTTGGCTCGACGATCCGTCGCTCGGGCGGTAACCCCATCTTATATTTGGGTCGTAATCGCTCTGCCGATGACCGAAAATTACTCTATCGCAAACGCTGTATCTCCGGTCTAGCCGAGGCTGCGGTATCGACGCGTCGCCCTCCATTCTCCACCGCTGCGGCGGCGTTTGGAACGATCGACGCGGGAAAAAGGTCGAGGCTTTGTTCCGGATCGATCCTTCGAAATCGGCGTTCCATTCGGCGACGGGATCGGGCACGGGAGACGGGGTGTAGCAGCACCGGCCGCTGCCGCAGCTCTCGCCGGGTGCGGCGCTGTTCAACGTTCTTTTGATTAGGCCAAGCCACTTTTTCGCCGGACCGTTGTCCTCGGCACCGAGAATATTTCCGGCGTTGAGCGGGACGATTTCCTGAAACCTAGTACACGACATTGTAAGATCAAGACATGTTCCCGAGCTATATATATATATATCGAAACGTATCAACATGTATGAGTGATTATACCCGAGGACGTATATATCGGCCGGAGGCGCAGCGTGCAGCCAATCGTCTAAGTTCATACTGTTCGGCGGCGACTTTCCGCCGACGTTCCACGTCGATACAAAGACGCTGTAGTTTTGGATGTTTATGATCTGAGGATGATCGAGATAGCCGCGGCGGCGGCGGCGCGACCGGGATCGGGACCGGGAATATGTCCGGTCGATCTTCTTCGTCGGATTCTCTGCAAAACAATGGCATCAACGGTCAGATCATGATCCAAAAAAGGTAACAAATACTTATGAATAAATAAGTGATTAAGGCAATTTTTGTCGATTAAAATTGAACGGCCGGCCGGAAGTTTTGACGGCGAGATTCCGGCAGGTCGGATTTCTCAAATAAACGAAAATGAAATAAAATAAGTAAGGTTAAGATACTAACCGGTTCGGCTTTTCTTGATCGCCGGCGCCGGCGCCGGCGGTTCCCTATCGGAGAAGCTCTTCCTCCATTGCACTAATGATAAAAATCGAATCTTTTGTTACTAAATTAAGGCAATATGTTTTTCCTTGGCAGATTTTGTAATAATAGGGCAATTAAAATGCAATTAAATTGTTTCTTGTCAATTTGGGGTTTTTTTTGGGAGAAATTGAATTTTTATTTTTATTTTTAAAATTTTTTGAAAGTGAACTAACCTCCATTGACAGCATCATCGGTTTTGTACTCCTGACATTTGTTCTTGAAATTGAACCATTTTCGAATCAGCCTCTTCGACCAAGAAAGCTTCACATAAAGCCCACAAAAAATAAAAATCTCAAATCTCAAAAAATTAAAAAATTAAAAAAGAAAAAAAATTTAAAAACCTTACCTTGCTTTTCTTGGAGTTTCCATCTTTCATTGTTGCTCAATGTTTCATGTGGCAATCTCTGGGAAGTTTTCGAACCCAAACAAACCCTTGTAAGAAAATAATCTCTTCTCTTCAATGGCTTCTTTTCTTGCTATTTTTTTTGTACTTTCAATGGAAATTACAAATGGGCATTCCTTATTTAAGTAAAAAAGGAATCCTCGATCTTTCAGAACTTAGATTTCAACATGCAGCCCTGATCAAGATTCAATCTTTTTTATTTTTTTTCTTTGAACAAGAAACCAAAATGAGAGGAGAAGACTGGTCTCTGGAATCCCTCAAGAACAATATAATGCAATTATGTGTGTGTGAGTGAATATGTCTGTGTATGAGTGAGAGAGAGAGTTAGAGAGAGAAAGAGAGAGAGAGAGAGAGAGAGAGAGAGGGAGGGGCTTAATTTTGTTGACAAGGATGGTGTCTTTTGCTTTATTTCTTGAGCACAGCTTTGGTTCCCCAGCATCCGAAATAGCAACAGCACCAAAGTATCGAATTTTGAACAGACTAAACCCCAAACAAAAAAAAAATTAAAGGAAAAAAAATTAAAGAAAAAAAAAGCGTGCAGCCACCCACCCACACCACCCATTTCTCTCTCTCACACACACCCGCATTGGTGTGTGCGTGCTGCTTTTTTTTTTCTTTAAAATAAATAAATAAGTAAATAAAAGAATGACCCGAACCCCAATGCCGGGTCGGCACGTCGTCGCCATTGTTAACACTCACTAAACAAACTTGGACGGTGAATTTTTGTTACTCTTTATAAGTTTATTTAGATACTCAAGGTAAAAAAGTAATGATAATAATTTGAATATTAAAATAAAGTAAGTAGAAAATAAATAAAATATTATGATAATAAATAAAAATATAATATTGCCATCTCTACAAATTAATATCCTATTTTTCTATTTGAAATGTCTAACAACTATTGTCCTATTGATTTTTTAAAATGCAAATTTAATATTTTTACCATTAATTCATTTATTATTTTTAATCTAATTAAAAGCAAATTTTTTCATTCATAATAAAAAGACAATCACCTAAAAAACCGTGTAAATATCCTTTAGGACAATAGAAATTGGACGGAGAGAGTAGTAAATCAATTATGGCTACTTGGTTAAAAATTGAGATAATAAGGGTATGCTTGACTTGTAAAATATTCCCTCAGTCCCATGTACCATGTCCATATTGTCGTTTCTGGTCATCCCACGTATCATGTCACTTTCAATTTTTTTGGAAAATAATTACACTTTAATTTCATTTTAAACTTTTAATTTTTTTTTAAAATTTTAATTAAACTAATTAGTTATTTTAATCTTAATTTATAATTATTTATATTATAGGATAATTACTTTCACTAATACATTCTTAATTATCTACTAATTATACCCCTCATAAAATATCGTGTCTACAATGTAACAGACCTGAGCCGGATGGAGTAATTTAAAGGGATTTTGTTATATCATAGCGAGTAGAAAATATAAAAATAATAACTATGTAGAATATATTAATATTTGTGAAAAAATATTATTTTATCTTTTATTTGAATAGTCTTCTAATTCAATAGTATTTTATAAAAAGTACTTCATCCGTCTCATATATCGTGTCTGCTACACTGTAGACAGTGTATTTTATGAGGAGTATAATTAATAGATAATTAAGAATGTATTAGTGAAAATAATTATCCTATAATATAAACATAAATTAAAATTAAGATAACTAATTAATTTAATTAAAATTTAAAAAATAAAAAATAAAAAGTTTAAAATTAGATTAAAGTGTGTAATTATTTTCCAAAAAAAGAAAGTGATATGGTATGTGGAACGGACAGAAACGACAACATGGACATGATATGTGGGACGGAGTGAGTAATATTTTTTTCTTGTACAATAATATATTTTGTCATTTTCGTATCTTTTATATAAGATATATATTATAAATACACTTAAAATGTATATTTATTTTATTAATATATTTTCTCTATTTTATTGAAATGTTGTTATTTTGTATTTTTGTTTGTTTCAAAAGAAAGTTATCATTTTATAATTTAATAATTGCATTATTTACCTAACATAATAAATATCATTTCAGCTTACAATATATTACACAAATGTTGATACTTTTATAGTATTATACAATACTAAGAGGAACATTTTTATTTTCTTTACAATAATAAAATCTAATATTAATATTAAAAAATTTAAGTAAAAAAAAAAACAAACGACAATCTTTCAATGATACGGAGGATATGTTAAATTAAAATTTAATAGATTTTACATACCAAAGAACACTAATTACTATGTAAATATCATTTTTTTAAACCTTTCATAAAACTTATAAATATATACATATATATATATATATATGAGGGAGCAAGAGAGTATATTTTATATATTAAAAAAGAAGTTGTAAAAAAAAAAGAATAATAATGAGAACAAATTTTATAGAAAATTTTAAAAATAAAATTGCTTGATATGTTTATTTTTTTCACTTTCGTTTGTTTTATATAATTTATTTATTTATTTATTTTAAATTATATTTATATATTTTAATTATATTTTAAATTTTATAATTTGTACTTTTTAAATTTTAATTAATTATTTAATTATTTTTATCAATACAATTTTTTAATTATTATTAATTATATTTTACCTAATTTTTTTTATTTACAATAACGTAACACTTTAACTGGTATGGAAGGAGTATCTTCTTGGTTCCATTATTTTTGTTTAATTTTGTTTCTTTAGGTGGCAACATTTTAATAATTTTTAAAATTATTTTATCGGTTTTTATTTACATATACAAAGGAGAATATATATATATATAATAAAGAAAATTATAAATATTTTAGGATATTTTAAAATAAAACAATAGTAAATAAATTGAAATGAAAAAAATATAAATATTTTTTAAATAATTATTTTATTTCTTTATGTAATACAAATACGCTCCAGTTCAACAAGACAAATTTTACTTTTGGTCAACTAGGTGCCCACAAACTTGTGTGGATCTACGTTAATAAAATATTGACAACAATTATAATAATTATTTTAAATAAAAAAATATATATATTTTTTCATTCAAATTCAACTTACTTCTTTTTATTATTTTTTTGTGTAATACTATTTTTTTAAAAATTTTTTAGTAAAAGTAATTATACACTAACACTTAAATACGTTTAATTTTTATTTAAATTACACTAATATAATTACATACAAAATTACTTTATACATAAAGTTAAAATATAAAAATATCAAAACTTATATAATTTCATTAATTAATAAAATATTATTCCCTCCGTCTCATAACTACGTATCCGTTTATTTTTTGCACGAAGTTTTAAAAATATTAATATTATATTAGGATGTAAGTAGAAATAACTAAAATAACTTTATTAGTATTGTGTGATATAAAAGTAATAACATTTTTGTAATATATTGTAAATTGTAAGAGTAATTGTAATGTTAGGTAAATAATAAAATTACTAATAAAAAAATGAATATTTTGTTATAGGACAGACTAAAATAAAAAATGAATAATTTATTATAAAATAGAGGAAGTATTATTTTTTAATTTTCCGACGAGACGGAGAGATTAATATTCTTAATTTACAATCAAATACTCCCTCCGTCCACAAAAAAAATATACATTTACTTTTGGTGCGGTGTTTAAGAAATAATAGTATTTTAATTATAGTGGGTAGTTAAAAAGTAATGTAACGACATTTTTGCCTTTGTTTTTTGGTGTAAAAGTAATGATGTGATGTAAAGTAGGGGTATTTGTGGAAAAAAGTAAGGTATTTAATGAAATGTTTATTTTATAGTTGGACGTCCCAAAATAGAATTATGTATACTTTCTAACTGGACGGAGGGATTACTATCTATTACTTAAAATTCAACTTTTAACTACAGTTTCAACTTACAATAAAATGAACTTGGGATTTTTTTTAATAGTATAAATATGATTTATATATAATATATATACATACATTTCATAAAAATCATAGAGTTGAATAAGAAAAATTAAAACAAAACTAAAAGATAAATAAATAAATAAATAAAAATAGAAGTTTATTAATCATTTATACATTTACAAGAAAAATTGTAAAAATTAGTGTATGTATATTCAATTATCACTTTTGTTTATTATTTATCTCAGTAATAAAATATATCCTACACGTTAAAAATCGTTATTTTTGTCATTCGGCTGCACGCGACGTTCACACAACGGTTGTCTTATGTGCGACCAAATGACAGAAATAACGATTTTTGCAAAAGTAAAAAATATACAAAAGTGATAATTGAATATACGTGAAGGATATTTTTATTTTTTTTACAGTTTTTACCATTTAACCACTATACTGTAAACATAAAATACTACTTCTAGGTTCCACCTCACTTGTTCGATTTTTTGTATATGCGGGAATTCGGGCAACAGTATAATTAATAAATAATTAAAAATATATTAATAAAAATAATTATTATATAATATAAATAATTATAAATTAAAAATAATTTAACTAATTATTTTAATTAAGATTAAAAAAATTATAAATTATTTTTACAAAAACAAATAGACAAATTATGTGGTATAACCGAAAGAGAAAATACGAACAAATTAAATGGGAAGTAGGAAATATTACTTTTAACTCATGCTAGAGTTTGTTTGGTTGTGATTTGAAATAAAGTGGTAAATTTAATTTTTTTTTTTAAATATTAATAATATATTTTTATTAAAAATCGTATGCCACGATATTAGAAAATACAAACAAACGGTTAAAGTGTAACGCATGAGGTGAGATTCGAATAATAATAATAATAATAATAATAAAGTGCCTAAATACAAATTTTGTTTCACCTCTGCCATTAAAGCAATTAAAGTGCAAAACCAAAACAAATAAAATAAAATAAAAATTAAAGTTCATCGTCTCCCACAGCACAGTAGAGAATTTCTTTCTTCCCATCTTTGATTTGTCGATGCTATTCTTTTCAGGTCCCTTCATTGCTTTTCTCAATCTTCTTTTCTTTTTCCTTGGGCTCTGTAAAATTAAATTCAATCTTCAACTCTATCTTTTTACATGAATTTACCAAATCTAGGGTTTCTCTATTCTGCAGCAGATTCCATAATTTCCCCCAATTTATCCTTACATGCAAATTAGTTAACTAATACTAATTACCTGCCCTAAAACAAGATTCTTAATCTCTCTGTGTGTGAAATAATTGGACATGAGAGTGATTGAGGATTAAATTCGAAGAATTTTTTGAGGCTGAGATTTGGGGGTTTTGCAGAAGCCTCTTTAATCGAGTGGTCCTTTCATTTTTTTTTTTAATTATTATTATTAATTTTTTTTTCTTTCATTGCATAAGTTGCTGTCGGAAACTGCCAATTTGTGTGGGGCTAGCTGTTTGTTGCCTTATTGCCATACCCATTGACTGTTAAAATCTTGTGGATTG